GCGATTGAGTGCCCGTGGAAGATATCAGAGCAACGCACGACCCGCAGATACGCAGCGAATATCCATAGTACCTGACAGTGACTTGAAGAGGGACAGACTGCGGGATCATCGATGCACACTAGTGAGGCAACTTACTTTTGAACTTTACTACTTACTTACCTAAGCTTAGTACATATTGTGCGCCGGCGCGGCCCGCAGTACTGCCACTAGGCCTGGCTACTGAACGTGAACCCACGGCACTGACTCCTACTTCCCGATACCACGCAAGGTCTCCGCCAGGTCCCGTCTGAACCGAGCTCCGGCCTCTTCTCTCAATCAGTAAGAAGTCTTCTTGGTCTTTTCGACCTGATAGCGACCATGCCATGATCAACCTCAAAACCTGGATTCGAGCTCCAGGCTCAGCGCCACCGAGCATCCGCTGAGCATAAAGCTCGCATCGTTCCATGCAGATTGTGCTAAACCAGCCAGCATGACTTCGGCAACTACAACTGGGATTGACCCGCTGTTCCATGAGCCTGTCGAGCTCCTCTCCACAGATGCGCGCGTAGCTCTGTCTTACAAGCGTGCACGCCTCCTTATGCACGAATACGGTCCGTGCAGCTTACCCTATGGACTCTCTATCGCTACCTTACGGTCCACTGACTTTGTACATTAGCGTTCACCGTCAAAGACGTGCTTGAGTCATCACCTAAATTTTGGGCACTCCAGTCCGACCCCCGCCTACCCCTTGATATTGCTTGCTACACCATCCTCGCCGCACACGTAGGGCTCGCCATCGGAACGCTCGCGAAGTTCGCAGGCCACAGGGCCGACATCGCGGCGCTCGTTCGGAGCTTGCTCAACTTCGACACTGTTGGAGTGTATCTGCTCAGCGAGCGTGGACACGGACTCGATGCATTCAACATTGAGACCACGGCCACACTCACTTCAGAAGGATTCATCCTGAACACTCCGCGAGAGGAGGCGGCCAAGTACGTCGCTACCGAATCTGCAAGTACTCTACTTACCGATGCGATCTTATTTTATAGAATGATGCCAGCCACTACGCCTTCCTTTGGTATTCCTAAGGTCGCCCTCGTGATGGCTCGGCTCATCGTCTCCGGCGAAGATCGCGGAAGTCGCTTCTTCATCGTCCCCATCTGCAACAAATTCCAGATGTACCGTGGTGTCCACTCCACACGTCTGCCGACGCGCAGCGGCACCGCTCCCCTAGACTTCTCCATCACGACCTTTGACCACGTACTTCTTCCTATCACCGCTCTTCTCGGAGACTCTCTCGCGGCTCCCAAGAACCCCCTGCAGGCGTGGTGGGGCGAGGTGTGGCGCATCCCCATTGGAACTGGCGCCGTTGCTGGACCGCTTGTGCAAGCCCTGAAGCACGCGGCGTACATTGGATCCAGTTACTCCCTCCATCGCCACATTGTCGGCAAGACGCCTACTCCGGTATCGCTCATGTCCTTCTGGACACAGCGGTGGGCGATGGTCCAAGCTGTCGCTGTCGCCCGTGTTCTCGACGTCTGGTACCCGACCGTGGTGAAGCAGTCGGTCGACATGGCTCTGGAACCAGGCGTGCGTCATGCTTACTCCGTCATCACGAAGGCGAGCATTGCCCAGCTTTTTCAAACTTGCATGGGGGAGGTGATGGTGAGGTGCGGCGCTCAAGGGTAAGTTCTTCGTATCCTCTTGGTAGCGACGCCAAAAGCTGAGTAAAACCCCTTAGTACATTCGAGCACAACTTCATGGCGCGCATGAAGGTATGTTTTCCTGGCATCAGCATCGAACGTACCAGGGATCTCTGACATGCCTTGACCATAGAACGAAGGCTACGGCGTGGTTATTGCTGAGGGAGACATCCTCACACTCTGCATCCGCCTCTACAACGAGCTTCTGCTGGGAAGATACAGCATTCCCCCGCCCGCCCACAAAGATACGCTTCTCTGGCGTCATGCCGAGGGTCTCCTGCGCACCGCGCGCGAGTACCTCGCTACGTGCGGCGATCACCGGAGCGAGAAGGCCAACGCGTTCGTGCTGCCGCTTGCGGAGGCCGGTGTCAGCGCCATCGGACACGCCCTCGCATACTCGGCGGCCATCGACGCAGCAGTGCCCAAGCCCCTCCTTGACGTCTATGAGTGCGCTGTCATGCGGCTCGACGCCGTCTGGTACTCTGAGTCCGCCGGTCTGTCGAGCTTTGAACAGCGTATGCGCGAGGACAAGGCGAGCGCGGCTGTTCTGCCCCGTCTGGAGGAATACCTCCGCGACTTGAAGATTGCCCGTCACGTTCGCGCGCCCATCGTCTCCGACGCCGCCTGGAAGGCCTACCTCAAGCTCCTACCCACGCACTCCGGAAATGCGGACGCGAACGAGGACTCCAAGGTTCGATTTCGGTCTGAGACTATTTCTGCACGCCTGTAGCTATGAACGTGCCGCGTAAATGGTCCTCGATGTTGGTGAGTTGATTCGAGTCTGCCGCCTGCGATCACTGCTGACATACCTAACTACACCCAGTACGCTATCCGATGTGGAGTGGAGACTCACATCTTCGATGAAGATACAGATGCCCCCGGGTCGCGGGACCGAGATAGAGTGAATGATGGTGAATGATGTTAAGCCGAGTGACATGTAGACTATGGTTCCTGCTGTTTTTGTTGGTATTACCGGATGTATTTATGGCATAAGGGCTATCTCGTGTACTCGACCGGCATGGAAGATGCACAGAGTCAACGCGACAGCTGATCGCCCACGTCATTGAGGTATCTTCGGAGGTCGGCACTGACGGGAGCTTGTCTCCTCCCTTCACTATGCAAGGGAGTCGCTTAGTGTCCAGGACTGTCGCGAGGGTACTTACGTTCGTCGATCGCGTAAATCATTGCGGGTCACGCTTGACCGTAACGTGCAAAGGTTCCTGTGCGAAGCCACTCGTTCAAGTCCTATTCGGTCACGCCTCATAGGAGGAATCAGGCAAGAGACCGGGCGTTCGTCCTTGTACTGATTGGTGGAGGAGCGCGGTTTGAGCCAGGTGAAGAGAGACACGACGCTCGGCCCCCAGGCCAGCTGAGGCTACAAATAGTCTCACGTCTCGTACTCTTCCACGACCTAAGAGGGTCGAAGGTCGGTCAGCTAAGACGGCTGATGCAACGGGGAGTCATGTTACCTCTTGGAACCGTTCTGGAGTCCAATGCATCTGAACCTTGTCGAGTTGATCTTCGGGTAGCCACCATTCGAGGAACATGAAGAACAAACAGTCCACAACGAGGATGATCGCGAAGATGATGCCGGCTACGGGTCCCAGGTCCAGCGTTCTGCAGATGTGTCAGTGGCTTCGTGATGGGACGATCGGGAGGACCAACCGATGCATGCGCGTCCAGAAGTCGTATGGCTGCGACTTCATTATCGATTCATAGACGGCTTCCGTACGCTGCGCCACGTCGCGCCAATCGTAGAAGCCTCTCACGCGTTCGTGGGCTTTGTGTGGATCGTGCTTGCCGGCGGATACGAGTCGGATAGCCTCTGACATTGCGCGAACAATGTCTACAATAGAGCAGGAGGGTTCAGTGGCTAGGGATGCGTGGCGGGTCCGCAAGGGGGTCACTTACCATCTTCATCCGGATTGGCGAAAGAGATCATGTCTTCTGGCAGGATCTCGGGAACTCCACCAACCTTAGTGGACACGACGTAGAGCCCAGCACATGCAGCTTCAAGGATGGCGATACCGAAAGATTCGGTAAGCGAAGTGTTCATGAAGATTGATCCTTGGATGAGAACCTGCAAGTATGTCACCACACTGGCTTCTGAGACGAGTGCGTCGCACTCACGTCGCGAACGTCACTGTGGCGAACAGGTCCAAGCATCTCTATGCGGTCTTGAAGCAGATACTTCTCTCGCATCTGCAGGAGATCTATCATCTTCGGTCCGTCTCCTCCTAGTCATAGAGCAGGATAAGTCGTAACGTTCGGCACCAGATACAGCGGCCGTACCGATGAGGAAACGGACGTTGGGAAACAGAGCGCATATTCGGGGTGCCGTGGCTATGAGAAGGTCGATGCCCTTCCTGTACGCAAGCCGGGATACGACAACAACAGTAACTGCGTGAAGTGAGCACTGTCAACTCGCTGCGTAGAAGTAAGAATGTCTCACTCGTGTCTCCGGACGGCGGAGATGGAGCAGGCTTGAATTGGTCGGCGACGAGAGAGTTGGGGATGACGTGGACAATGTCTGGAAGTAACCTCGCTCGCAGTACAGTATTCTCGCGACTAGCCTTCAGTCAGTACCGTGAACGGGGAGGTGCTGACAAGTCACGTACCCTGTGTGAGATACACAAATAGCGGCATCCACATTACGCAAAGCTGCTTCGAGCAGCTTGTTAGTCAAGATACTCGCTGCGTCGTCGAAGCCAAATAGACTGTGGTCGGTGAACACCGTCCGCACGCCCATGAGATGGGCATGTAAGATGCCTTCATGCGCCAGTGACGAAAGACCAGCGTGACCGTGTATGATCTGCACACCTTCCCGAAGAATGATGCTACGCAAGTATGGTAAGAATGCGAAGTAATTTGGCAGCGTTGCTGACGATGCAATAGTTGGGTATGGGAGATAGTAGACCTTAAGCGATGGTAGAAGCCACCGGATGCCTACACGGTCCGGAGGATGGCTATGAGTGATGACGATAACCTGAGAGATGGGGGCTTAGTTCGACGTACATCATCCAACACACTGGAGAAAGGTACCTTGTGGCCACGCCGCAGCATGTTCGCGCTGAGCATATAGATGTGGTTCTCAACCCCGCCAACATTGGGATGGAAGAAGTCACATATCATCCTGCGTAAAGGAGTCAGGTTCATGGCACATATACTTGAGGACTCTTTCCTACGCTATGTTGAATCCCATGATGGGGTCGCGTGTGGTTAAGGAGGAAGTCCGGGGAAGCTCGGCATCGGGCAGTGGTCAGTCAGTGTTAGCCCTTACATTGTGAATATATCTTTACACCTTTACCCCGTTATAACGGTTCGATGGTGTAGTTGGTTATCACGTCTGTCTCACAAGCGTTCAGCTGGGCTTGAACATGTGCACACAGGAGGTCTCCGGTTCGAACCCGGGTCGAACCACTTTTACGTAATTACTTTGTCAACTTGTGTTTTTACCCTTTTGTTCTTCCATATATGGTCAAACATCTTGTATCAATATTACGTAATTGTTTCGGCAGGAGTGCCGCACTTACTTTTGCCCAGGCGTTCCTCCATATTTGGACTACCGGCTTGGCTACAATCAGACGCTGCAGTGCTTCGCATTTAGCATCGCAGTCGGTGTCGACGGGGCGCACGTTCATTGTCTCTCTGGTCTTCTCTCTCGACATTGTCGTTGTCTTCTGAATCTTCAGTCTTTCCTATATCCTTTGTTTGCACCTGGTTCCTCAACGCACGCGATGGCATCTCAGGACAAGAACGATGTTACCGCGCTCGAGGAGGATGCCCCGGGCCAGCCCATCTCCGTTCCTGACTCTGGAGACACAGGGGAGAGCGGGAAGCTTAAGATGATAGTGCAGCTTGTGAAGAAGTGTCTCGGAGTCAAGGATATCGCTGCCATGTACGTCTCAGTCTGTGGAACACGTCTCTCCTTGCCTGACGGTGCAACAGGCGACTGTCCCTGCCTGCGTCTCTGCTCGAGCCGATTCCGAATCTCGAGTACTGGCATTATCTCGACCGTCCGGACCTCTTTGCTGCGTGAGTCGTCCCTGATTGTCTGTGTGTGCGCGTTCGGGAGGCGATGACGTGCACTCAGCATCAATGATTCGGACGACCCCTTCGAGCGTATGCTGGCCGTGCTCAGGTTTACCTTCTCCAAGGACCTCAAGTTTATTGTAAGTCCACTCGTCTTCCTACAGCAGTGTCATAGCTTGACTAGTTTGCAGCGAGGCAAGGTGTGCAAGCCGTATAATTCGGTACTTGGCGAGCACTTCCGTTCGCACTGGGACGTCATCCCCGTCGACTATCCATCGGACCCGAACGAGCCTCCGATTCAACACCTATACATCTCCCCACCGGTAGCAGATCCCGCGCCCTCGTCTTCATACTTCTTCTCGTCCGCAGCCGTGTCCGCACCGGATGTGACGCACCCGTCCCTCTCTGAGACGGCAAGCGTCAAGAGCGGCCGCAGCGGGAAGAGCGGGTTCAGCGGCCTCAGCTTCATGTCTCGCGGCCCTTCAACCACGGCCAAGACGACTCCGTCCGCGTCACCCCACCACGTCGAGACCAATCTCGAGGCCGGCATGTCCAACCTCAGCCTTGCGAACGACCGAGACTCCGGTCCCCTCTTGGAGGCAGACGAGACCGCTGCGGACAAGCCGCGCATCCGTATCGCTTACCTTACGGAGCAAGTCTCTCACCATCCCCCTATCTCGGCGTACCATGCTGCGTGCCCCAGCCGTCACATTGAACTCACCGGCGTCGACCAGATATCCGCCAAGGTTTCCGGCACGACCGTGCGCGTGATGCCTGGTTCGTTCAACAAGGGCATCTTCGTCCGCATTACGGGCGGCGCTGGCGCCGGGGAGATGTACCACATTACCCATCCGGTAGCCTCTGTCAATGGGCTGCTGCGCGGATCGTTCTACGTCACGGTCGGTGACACAACGATCATCACATGCTCGGGCGGTCAGGACGGCGAGAAGCTTCGAGCCATCATCGAGTACAAGGAGGAATCCTGGTTGGGCAAGGCGCACTTCCTGTTGGAGGGTGTCATCCACGAGTACGACCCGAAGGAGACAGTACATGAAGAGTGGACGCGTATCAAGCATGTCCCAAAGGATCGCGTTCTTGCTGTCTTCGATGGGTCGTGGCGCGGTCGGATTCGCTGGAAGCGCGTCGATGCGTCTGACAGCGAGTACGCAACGCTCATCGACGTGTCGACACTGCATGTCATCCCGAAGAGCGTGCGGCCACTGGAGAAGCAGCAGCCGAACGAGAGCAGAAAGCTGTGGGAGAACGTCACGGACAAGTTGGTGAAGAAGGAGTACAGCGAGGCTACAAAGCATAAGCTCGCGATCGAGCAGAAGCAGAGAGACGATGCGGCGGAGAGGAAGCGGAAGGGCGTCGAGTGAGTGACCTCGCACACATGCCTCTCGTCGCTTTGCTGACATCTGCACCAGCTTTGTACCGAAGTACTTCGAGCCCGACATCTCGACCGGCATTCCGATGCTAACCGAGGAGGGTTGCAAGGCCATAGAAGAGGAGCTCGCCGAGACTGCTGACCACAGGCTGGAGGACTCGGCACCGACACCCCAGCCACAGGGCGCGGATCTCGCCGAGGATGTGCAGGCATGACCGACATGATTTATGACATGACCCATCTACGTTCTGATTCCCCGCGAACGCTTCCTACACATGCAGCAGTGCTACTTGTACGATAGTTTATACCATGCATGCCCCCCCTAAACCCCTTCGTCGCTTCTCGCACACAGACTTGCGGTCGGCTTGTACGAACTGAAATGGAGGCAGTTTAATCGTCTCGAGTTGCATACTTAACACATCAATCGTGTGTATATACATCGCAGTGCTTTCTTAAATAGACATGTTCGAGGTTAGGAGGACTGACTGACCTCGCCAGCGTGTTGGTACGTGCCCGGTTCCCTCCCTGGCGTTTGGTGTGACTGACTGCAGACATCGGTCTTAGGTAGGTCGGCGATTAGTCCGATACCATACGCAAGGCCTGAGGCCGAGGAATGCCTTTAACGTGCGCATATTCCTTGGAAGATCCCCGCCAGGCTAGTCAGACGCTCTCCGCCTTCCGCGCTGACTCGCGCCGATCGAGTTGTCTTGAAGCGACATGCATATGTAGACATCCATTCCCGGGAGAAGCTCTCACGAAGGTCTCAGTTCGCCACTCGGTTTGACTGCAAGGTCACTCTTCGGAGTGTAAGCGATTGCCTAATCGTCCACTTCCCTTCAAATGTAAGCTCACTGCTGTCTCTAGATTCCTACATCGCGGGGGAGGGAGACATCGTTCCATCGAAGCGTTCTCTCAGTGAATCGAGTACTTACCCGAGTACTCAGCACCCTCATGATGCCTCATCGCTACATGACCGCAAGTGGGCGTTTCGCTTTCTCACTTGAGACATTCGCGTGGCGCGCGTGAGGTGTCTAGCAAGGGTCTCACACGGTCCCATACCTGCGAATACCTGCGAACCTTATACCGACTTCCATGAACCTTTCAAGCGCCTCTCCACCTTCCTTTCGCCCACAACAGCAGCATGGATACGTCGGAGGATGAGAAGATGGGCAACATCGTCGACGAGTACTGCGTTGGTGATGCTGTCACTCGGAAAAGTTGGTTCAAGACGGCTACTGACTTCCTGGCCCGTCGTGGCGTGGAGACGAACGGGTAGGTTATTATCATTCATGGCCACTTTGCCTCCAATAATGACTGTATTTTATTTGACAGAATAGATCCTATTTTTCCGGAGGATAGGACAGACACGAAGTTATATCAGATGTTCTTCGTGTGGTTCTCTGCGAACTTCAACGTCCTCGCGTACGTACGCTCTCACCTTGAGGACTGTCGAGTATACAACCCCTCAGCAGCTTTGGCACCGGATCCGCTGGTCCTGCGTTCTTCGGACTTGGGCTTCGGGACACACTCGTGGTCCTTCTAGTCGTCGACCTGATGTAAGTCGAATCGTATGCTGCGAGTTATGAAACAGCTCAACCATCCCATAATTTACTGATATATGCGATTCATTCAGCTCCTGCGCCATACCAGCGTACTTGTGAGTTGCCTACCACCCGCGACTGATCTGAGTGCATGGAGATTGATCAAGCCACCTGCGGCAGCGCGATATTTGGCCCCAAGCTGGGGATGAGGTCGATGATTGTCGCGCGGTACTCGTGGGGGTACGTACGTCTTTGCCTAATCTCCCGACTCACCGCTCACCGCACCGCAGATATTTCGGCTCTATTGTTCCGAGCGCCTTCACCGTCTTCTCGATGCAAGGCTTCTTGATCCTTAACTGCATCATAGGCGGTCAGACACTTGCCAGTGTGTCCGACCGCCTCGACGACACCCTTGGCATCGTCATTATTGGTATCATCTCTCTCGCGGTGAGTCTGCGCAGGTTCCTCCATACCCGGCATAGATCTCAACTTTTCTAGGTCACATTCTTCGGGTATCGTGTCATACATTGGTGGGTGTCCCTTGGGAGTCTCTATTGGGTCGACGAACTCAGTTAGACTACTACTACTACTACTACAGGTACGAGACGATAGCCTGGATCCCCAGTGCGATCACTTTCATCGTTATGCTTGGAGTCGGCGGGAAGCACCTTGGGAGCAATATTCCCCCCGACCCGCCAGCATCCGCGGCAACAATTGTGTCCTTTGGTACCACGATTGCGTCCAGTGTGATCAGTTGGTGCATTATGACTTCTGATTACGGGGTGTACCACACCGGCAAAGCCTCCAGGTTTGTGTGCTGCTACGCTTGCGGCGGTCTGATACTGACCTCGCTGCTCAGTATGAGAGTGTTCTTGTACAGTTATGCAGGATTTCTGACAGCCAGTGTGAGTCACCCTTGAGGTCAGAATTCGACGCCCATGTCTAATTGTTGACGGTGGAGGTTCTCAGCTCTGCGGGCACATGCTAGGCGCAGCCTTCGCTGCAGCCGCTCCTGTGGTGCCGTCTTGGGATGCTGGCTTCGACAATGGCAACAGTGTCGGTGGATTGGTCGCCGCCATCCTCGCGCCGGCAGGCGGATTTGGGAAGTTCCTCACCGTGCTCATCGCCCTATTCATCCCCAGCACTTGCGCTCCAACCATGTACACGTTCGCCTCAAGCTTCATGACGATCCATGGGTGGTTCGCTCTGGTACCGCGCTACGTGTACGCATTCATCTCGGCAGCTATGTGAGGCTCATGCAATAACCCATGTCGTCTTCCTTCGCTAACTACATATTGCAGACTAATACCGGTTGCAATTGTCGGAGCTGCCCACTTCTACAACACCTTCGTCGACGTGATGAACGTCATAGGATACTGGAGCACTGTCTTCGCTGCCATAGTCATCGCAGAACACCTCGTCTTCCGCAAGAATGATTGGGCGCGGTACGACATCTCGCA